TATCGGTCCACGTTTAGGCATAGCTCCCATATAAGGGTACCCCCAATTTTCGGTATTTTGGGGTTCTTGAGCGCGTTTTTCAACCGAATTTGCTGCAATTTGGTATTTTGTAGTCGTATAGGGTAACAAATCTCCCTACCAAAAATTATTAATATTGGCCCCCTTTTTGGGGTAGTCCCCATATAACCCCTTTTTATACCCTTCACCACACTGTGCACAAAGACATACGTGCATATGTTTGTAACAGGCAAAAGGAAACGAGATAGACACATGGTTCCTTTTGAGAATATGCATAGAATCACTTTCTATGTCGATTCCGTCCGTCCTTCTGTCTGTCTTTCCATGTTAAATTGTAAACAAAGTACAGGTCGCATTTATGATCCGAATTGGATGAAATTTGGCATAGGTCACTTATTCGGCCCAAGGACGAACCCTATTGAAATTGGGAAAATCGGTTCAGATTTAGATATAGCTCCCATACATATATTTAACCGATTTAATGTAAACGGCCCCTATATATCTTTCGATTTAATTTGGTACAGACTAATCATTTAGGTCTAGAATGATGTCTGCCAAGTTTCGTGAAAATCGATCCAGATTTAGATATAGCTCCCATATATAGTTTTGTCCGATTTCATGTAAATGGTGCACTAAAGTCGCTATATATCTTTCGATTTGCACGAAATTTGGCATAACGTACTGAATTGAGCCTAGAGTGATGTCTGCATTGTTGCGTGAAAATCGGTCCAGATTTAGATATAGCTCCCTTTTATTATAGATTGATTTTAAATAATTGACGCACCAAGGAACCAATAGGAACAAAACGTTCTGAAATTAGTATAACCTAACCTGTGACAATTTTGCTTGAAATCGCTTAGTGTTTGGATAGAGCTTCCATATATATTTTCGCCCGATTTCAAGAAAATTGGGCATCAAACTCCTCATGTTAGTCAGATTGACATCAAATTTTGCACAACGTACAAAATTGAGCATAGAATTACGTAGTTGCGTTTTCTAGAAGTACAGACATAGCCCAACATATGACCTATTTATATTTGTTTGAAGTCGATTTACATTCTTTATGGACAGATCTAGGTAGATTCACATTTAGATAAATGTCACATTTATTATTTCATCCAATTTCATGTTAATAGTCCTCTTTAATATACCCATAGTGGTGAAGGGTATCATATAGTCGGCCCCGTCCGACTTTACTACTTTCCTTACTGGTTTATATTAAAATGGTTATCTGATTTGTTCCGCGTTTTGAGTTTGGTTCTAAGACTCTGTTGTAAACATTTCACCTGCGGAGGATAGCGAAAAAAATTGGAACGTATCATTCGATAATGAACTATAGCAGCATTTAGGCCTAGCCCCTATGGTGAGGTTCCGGAAGGAGTGGACCGATATTCCCCATCTTCGAATTTGAACTAAGTTCGGAAAAAATAATAAGAAGGGCAAAGTTTGGATGAAATCTAAATTTTCTGAAACGGATTTGCTCCAAAGAAGCATGGGGTCTAGAACCAATATTTCGATGAGGCACATTTTCACCGTGTTAAATTGTATACACCCTCATTAGCCATAAGGCTGAGGGTATAATTATCCATTAAAAATTTCTGAAATTTGTATTATGGTTTACATTATAGTTTACATAATCCGTTTTTAGAAATGTCCGCATAGGTCCACTTTTTGGTATGTTCCCTAGTACCTGTCAGTTTCATTTCTAGTACCTGTCAGTATATCAATGTTGGAGGGTATCCAAAGTTCGGCCCGGCCGAACTTAACACTTTTCCATATGTTTATTTTTGGATTTACTCATGGTAATTTTTCAAGTCTGAGTCTTCAAACACCGAGTCGGATTCCAATTAAAATGAGCTTTTGCGAAAGCCAATATGGTTTTCCGATTCTTTTCAGGAAATACCACACTACACTCTGTTCCTGAGGTTTTACCAAACGATATACCTCTCACCAATTTCGTTGAACTCCTCAATGGGTGTTTTTTTAATTATCTGACAATTTGTTGATTGATTGTTGATATCACTACCGATATAGTTGCATAAAACCAACTTGTATTTCGAGAAATCGCGGATTTATAAATTCAATATTTCAAAATAATTATCTGTTATAAATTGTTTTCATTATCCATGATATTTTGCTATTTTATAGATGTACCGTATATGTTTGTAGCCTAATCGAAATCGAACAGTGTGGAAACTAAACATGGTAATTATAACGGTAAAAACAACTAAAATTTCGAAGCTCATCTGTTTATACAGTAGAGTTGCTTTAGTTTTGTCCAAACAAAAATTGAGTCAATTTCATTTTCCATACATTATTATTTATTTCATTTAAACTGAAAAAACTCGATTTAAAACTGAAAAAAACCAAACAGGTATGTTCATTTTTGAAAAAGTTTACAGCAATTATTATCTTTGCAATTTCAGTTACTTCAGTATTGACCACCAGTGTATATGAAAGATTGACTATTCGACTTGACAGCAAAAAAATAAAAACTTCACTAAGATTGGTTACAGACTCTCAGGATGAAACACTGGGGTAGGGACTTCAATATAGCAAAAATTGAACTGGCATTTGTATGGAGTCCATTTTAAAACATAAACCTGTAGGAATTCGATGTGATAAATTTAAAAACATTATTATGTGGGGGCTATATTAAAATTCGGACCTATATAGACAATTTTCCGGAAATATGTGTTTTACAATACGTTTATATTGTACTGGATTTCGTTAATCCAGTGGGTATAATTTGTCAAATTCATTGCATATATGTCAAACAAATCATCATAAAGCAGTTTGAGCAAAAAAAAAGTTATAATGTACATGTCGGTTTACCTTCTAATATCCCGGAATGACAAAGACCAATATTGATCATCTATATAAGAGCAACATCGGTGGGAAAATGCGGCTAAAACCTGCAAAATTTTGAATATGGGTTGGTATCGATAAATAGGAGCTATACGTAAATGAATATGGTTAATTAAGGGAAGGAATATTTGATATTCCATGAGAACCTGAAAAATCAAATTAGAGTCAATTCTGTTGAAAAAAATAAAACACCGAAGCTTGTTGTTGGCGTGGGGTAAGGCTGAGTTTTTGGAAATTCGAACTAGAAGGGTACGAAAAGAACTAAAATGTACTAAATATGACACCCTTTGTATTAGTCAAACAGGAAGAGCTAGAATTCTAAAATTTGGAATGTGGGTCACTCACAGAAAGTTAGAAATATGAACAAAAGGGTTTTTGGAAAATAGACTTATAGGTGCACTAAAAGCACTAAACTTTACTAAATTTATTTCTAATTATATATATATATATATATATATAGATGGATCTTGAAATTTTATATGGAACTCAGGTTGGGAAGTGGAGTTGATGTATGGACATGTTTTTAGAAATTCGTATTTATGTTTATGTAAAGTAATAAATAGTGCTAAATTTTGTACTATTTTCATTTTGTTCCCATAAGTACGAATACACCCCAACAGTAACTTTAATTCCAAAATTCTGGAGTCCAAATGTACCCTTTCACACATAATCAAGTTGCACCAAATATAGTATATTTTAATAAACATATTATTTTTATCTCTTTAATGAAAAACGTATATTTGGATTTAAAATTACTGTCAGAATACAGGATTCGGAACTTATAAGTAAGTAAGAAAAGTACTAAATGGTAAATAGGTGACAGATAAGGCTGGGTTTTTGGAAATTCGTACTAGAACGGTACGAAAAGTACTAAAAAATACTAATCTATACTAATAAAAGAGTAACGATTACTGATTTAACCATTCATCAACACCCAGACGAAACGGCTGAAGCTTGAATCTTGAAATTTTGGATGAGGGTCACTCTTGGTCCAAAGGTGACAGATAAGGCTGGGTTTTTGGAAATTCGTACTAGAACGGTACGAAAAGTACTAAAAAGTACTGAATGTGATACCAGTACATCTATCCTATGTGAATGTAGGATAGATGTACTAAAGGGTTTTTGGAAATTCGAACTATAACTATCCGAAAAGTACGAAAATGTACTAAATTTGGTACAATTTCATAGCATGTGAATGAATAGGGCCAAAAACTTGAAATTTGGAATGTAAAATAACGTTGAGAAGTAGGGTCGATATGAGGAGAGTTTGGAAAGCGTGTACTCATGTGTACGAAAAGTACTATATGGTACTATATTTGGTACAAATTTGATTTGGAGGTACAAATCGAGCTGGAATCCTGAAAATTTAAATTAACATTACCGTCGGAGTGTAGGATTGGGATATGTACGTAGTTTTGGAAATTTTTACTTATGTGTACAAAAAGTACTAAATCGTACTATAATTGGTACAATTTGGATTTGGGTGAACCGATAGAGCTGGAACAATGAAGTTTGGAGTTAGGATCATTGTAGGGATGTAGAATTAGGGTCAGGATTCAGTTTAAGAAAATAATACTTATTGGTACTAAATGGTACTAAATTTGGTACAATTTGAATTTAAGGAGAACCAATAGAGCTAGAATCATGAAATTTGGAGTCAGTATTACTGTTGAGGTGTAAGATTGAAATATGAGAAAGTTTTAGAGATTTGTACTAATGGGCACTAAATATGGAACAATTTAAATTGTGGGTGAACCGATGAAGTTGAAATCATGAAATTTTGATTTAGGATCACTGTGGGGTTGTAGGGTTGGGTATGTAGGAAGTTTTAGAAATTTGTACTAAGTGTACCAAATTCGGTACAATTTAAATTGTGGGTGAAGCGATAAAGTTTGAATCCAGAAATTTTGATTCAGGGTCACTGTGGAGGTGTAGGATTGGAGTATGTAGGAATATTTAGAAATTGGTACTAATATGTACTAAATTTGGTACAATTTGAATTGTGCTAACGAAGTAGCGGGTATATGCTAGTATATTATATTTATTTTTAAAGATATTTTATTGTCGTTTTAATGACGACTTTATACTCTTCATAATTGTACTTTAACTTAAACAAATAATTTTTGTATTTTCTAATTTTCTTTAATTTAACTAATATTTTGTTGAATCCAATCAACATATGAACTGACACGCATATATACACCGGGCAAATTAGATTGACCGCAATTTGTTTTGGGTCCAAATGCCACAATACCCAAGAGGGTGTATTGACCAGATTTCGAGCGATTCATAAAGGGGCCACCACTGTCACCTATAAGAAATTATAAAATTAAATTATTAATATATTATAAAATTAAAATTAAATGGATATCCACCATACCTTCACACACATCTCTTTTGGCTTCAGATTGAGCACAAAATTCACTTGGAGTTATGACAATGCTATTTTCAAAGTTTTCACTGTACTTGGCGTAGCGTATGGCACATTCTGTATTATTTAGTATGGGCAGGTTGATGTAACGCACCATAGAAATGGCAACATTGGAATTTGCTAATAAAAAACAACATTTGTCAAAAATATTCAAATATTCTAAATAGAGAATAGCAACTTACCATTATCACTCCAACCAGCCACAATACCCGTATTGCCCGTTGCAATTTCACTATCATTTTGAGGTAAGCAGATTTGTACTAATGGTACTGCAAAAGAAATTTGAAATTATTTTCAAATCATAGAGATGTTAAAATAGTATCCTCTCTTACTTTTGGAATTGTGTGTCTTGGCTAATCTGACGAGAGCAACATCATTATTGAACAATGGATCATTGTAGTCAGGATGTATTGTGGTCTCGATTATTTTGAAATCTTGAAAATTTGTATCATCACCAACACGAGCGTAAATTCTACAATTACAGACAGAATATATTTGCATAATATATATATATATATATATATATTTGTCAGAGATTATCACCACAATTTCAAGTCATTGTACTTACAGTCTTAAATCTCTCACTAAGTTGTCCACACAATGGGCTGCGGTTAGGATATGCTGTCTAGAAATTATTGTACCCAAACATCTATGACGAACAGTTCTGCTGGCTGAAAAGACAAGAAATACGTTATTTAAACGTTTTTTTTTTTTTTTTTTTAATTTTTGCACCACTAAATGGCCATTGTCTTAAATTGCCTTTTTTATACCCTCCACCATAGTATGGAGGGTATATTAATTTTGTTTTTCCATTTGTAACTCATCGAAATAATCATTTCCGACCCTATAAAGTATATATATTTTTGATCAGCGTAAAATGCTAAGACGATCTAAGCATGTCCGTCTGTCCGTCTGTTGTAATCACTCTAGCGTCTAAACGAGTTGAGATAGATCGCCAAAATTTTGCACAGAGTCGTCTTTTGTCTGCAGGCAGTTCAAGTTCGAAGATATATCGGTCCACGTTTAGGCATAGCTCCCATATAAGGGTACCCCCCCAATTTTCGGTATTTTGGGGTTCTTGAGCGCGTTTTTCAACCGAATTCGCTGAAATTTGGTATATTGAGTTCCTATTGGGTACCCAATTTCTCCGCAAAAAATTATACATATAGGTCCATTTTTTCTGGTAGCCCCCATATAACGGTACACTCTAATTTTCAGTATTTTGGGGGTTTTGATCGTAGTTTTCAACCAAATTGGCTGTAATTTAGTACTTTGAGTTCTTATGGCGTACCAAATCTCTTCACTAAAAATTATAAATATAGGTCCATTTTTTCTGGTAGCCCCCATATAAGGGTACCCCCCAAATGTCGGTATTTTGGGGCTCTTGAGCGCGTTTTTCAACCGAACTCGCTGAAATTTGGTACATTTGGTTCTTTTTGGGTGCCAAATATCTCCACTAAAAATTATAAATATAGGTCCCATTTTTCTGGTAGCCCCCTTATAAGGGTACCCCCAATTTTCGCTACTTTGAGGTTCTTGAGCACGTTTTTCAACCGAATTCGCTGAAAAAAAATTATCAGTATTCACCCCCTTTTTGGGGTAGTCCCCATATAACTCCCTTTTTTATATTAATATAGTTATGCAATTTGTTCCGCGTTTTGGGTTTGGTTCTAAGACTCTGTTGTAATCATCTTACCGAGATAAAAAACTAGAACGTAAGGTTCGATAATGAACTATATATGAACTTTAACTCATATTTAGGCCTAGCCCTGTGTGGGAGGTACCAGAACGAGTTTGGAAGAAATAATAAGATGGTCCAAAGAAACATGGGGTCTACAACCAGTTTAACCGTGTCAAAGTGTATACACCCTCATTAGCCATAAATCTGAGGGTTTAATTATCCATTAAAAATTTCTGAAATTTGTTTTATATTTTACATTATGGTTTACGTAATCGGTTTGCAAAAATTTTCATTTCAAGTACCTGTCTGTTTATCTATGGTGGAGTGTATCTAAAGTTCGGCCCGGCCGAACTTAACGCTTTTTCACTTGTTAAAGTATAAAATCAAATAAATCGTATTATGTATACCCTATACAATATTCCTAACATTGATTGGTATAAATTAGAGCCAATCCCATTGAAACAATCGTAAAAGGCCTCTCCCAAAACTTAAATCAATATTTATAAGTTTTGGTAAGGAAATTTTATACCCAATGCGACTCCAAAATATTAATTTATAATCAATTTGGTAAAAAAAACGTGCCCAAACATCGAATATTTTGGGAGAAACGTGCATAAAATACAGGATATTTGGCGGTACATTTATATGGAGGCTACACAAAAACGTGAACCGATATTGATATTTTTGGTAAGAACAATTAAGAGTCAATTTTGTTGAAAATCATGCTCAAAATTACCTAAATATCGAGAAATTGGGGGTGGGGATTGAATACCGGTGTATGGAGTTTACCCTGGAAATTGGGCCAATGTTGACAATTTTTGGAAAGTTATAAAATTACAGTCAATTAGGTCGGAAAACATGCCTATGTAACCCAAGATGACGAAATTTAAAGATATATATGGGGACTACCATAAAAAGTGGACCAATATTTATATTAAGATATACGATTATCTGTCGGTAGTTCTAATAAATTGCGACTTCAGAGAGGACTGATAGATTGTAAACTATTCCTTCTATTAAGAAATTCTCCGTACATCCTGTGGAAGAAATTAATTTTGAAGGTAGTAATGAATACATTTCTCAACTTAACAGGTGAAAACGTTGTTTAGATCTTCCTGGTCGATCCACTGTAAAACATAAAACGAAGGAGAATTGTTATCCTTTATGAAAAGGAAGTACCAAATTTAAGACTAGAAAATTATTGATTGGAACGGGGCCGACTTTATTATACCCTTCACCACTTCGGTTATATTCAAGAGGTGGTCAATAGGACTATTAACATGAAATCTGTAGAACTTAAATATGTAATTTGTATCTATATGTGAATCGACATAAATCAATTCATGCATATGTAATTCTACAATAGATGCACAATTTAATTTCAATTGGGCATCTTATACGAATCAGAAATGCAACCAGTACTTATACTATAGTTTTTAGAGGACAAATTACAAAAAAGCGGCTGAATACTTCAAACTACCGAAAAGTGTTGTATCCTTACCTTGATGGGTATACCAAAACGTGGACCTACATCCATCAACAACTCGTAATAAATACTATTATCTTCATACTTTGCGGGGCCTCTGACAAAAAACGCCAAAAGTACCAAAGGCAAATACCCCACTACAAAAAAATGATGTTATTGCTAATTTATTTTTTTCTGCAGTCCGCTATGGGGAGCAGAGCCTAATGCAGAAATTGCAGATAGTGTAGCTATAAGATAAAATGATTAGTCTTGGAATATTGGGGTTTTAGGAGATCTCGTGTCAATTTGTGTTCTTCAGGTAGAAGTCACGATTTAATGCTCGTTGGCGGATACATACACACCAATATTGATCATAATTAAAATTTTACTGCCATTTAGTTCCTTTATTATAAAACTTATTTCTAAAACTACCTCCATATCTCTAAACTAATCACCAATTCTCATCGGCTCCATACTAATTTTTTTTATCATTTATTTCCTTTCGTATTCTTGAAGTACTTATTTTCAAAACTAATTCCAAATTTTAAGATTCGAGCTCTATCATAATTCTTCAAAATTTAGCACCATTTAGAACACATTAATATAAATCCAATAAAAATCATATTTCATATAACCATATCAAATTCAGTACCATTATTGTAAATTTCCAAAATTTCTTACATAGCCCAACTTCTTACATACACTCCAAAAGTAATCCTTGCTTCAAATTTCAAGATTCCATTCTCTATTGGTTCACCCGAATTCACATTTGGTACCATTTAGTACTCATTAGTACAATCTTCTAAAACTTCCTACAAATTTTTGGAAATGTTATTTCCCGATTTCAGAATTGCAGCTCTATCAGTTCACATTTGGTAACGTTTTGTACACATTAGTACAAATTCCCAAAACTTCCATCAACCGCAACCGTGACCCTAACACCAGCTCTATCGGTTCACCCAAAATTTAAATTGTACCAAATAAAGTACACAGCTCAATTCCGACATAGCTCACCGCCAACAGTAATTCTAACTTCAAATTTCAATATTCCAGCTTTATAAGTTCAAAATTCAAATTGTACTAAATTTGGTGCAATATAGTACACATAAGTACGAATTCACAAAACTACCTACATACACTCCAAAAGTAATCATAATTTCAAATTTTTACTATTTCAGCTCTAACTCCACATTATATCAAATTTAGTACCCATACGTACATATTTCCAAAACTACATTCATACCCCCAATCCTACACTCCAATAATAGATAATCTTATTTCCAAAAGTTCAGTGTTCCAGCTCTATCCGTTTACCTAAATCCAAATTGTACCAAATTTAGTACACATTTCTAAACTTCCTACGTACCCCAATCCTACACTCTAACAATCCCAATTTCAGGCTTCCAGCTCCATTGATTCACCGAAACTTTAAATTGCACGAAATTTAAAACACATAAGTACGAATTTCCCAAACTACCAACATACCTAAATTCTACAATGGAGTAGTAATCGTATGTCCAAATTTCATTGTTCTAACTCCATCGGTTGACTCAAATCCAAATTGTCCCAACTATAGTACAATTTAGTACCATTCGTACACATAGGTACAAATTTCCAAAACTACATATCTTATCCTACGTATCGCTATCCTACACTCCGACGTTAATGTTTCAGGATTCCAGCTTTATCCGTTTTTACAAATTCAAGTTGTACCAAATTTAGTACAGTTTAGTACATTTCGTATACATGAGTACACGCTTTCAAAAGCACCTTCATATATCAACCGTACTTCTCAACCTCAATTCCCATTCCAAATTTGTAGCTCCATCCATTCACATGGTACGAAATTGTACCAAATTGAGTACATTTTAGTACTTTTCGGATACTTATGGTTCGAATGCCCAAAAAATGTTTATACTTGGGCACTTTAATAAGTTTGAAGACTTAGTGGCCAAGTCCTTTCAATAGTAAGAAGGCAGAATCATGGTTGACATCAGATCCTCAACTGTATCATGACGTATGGTATAGTAAGTTTACCTTGACCAACATACATCATAAAATCCAAGGCATTTGCGGTTTTCTAGGTAGGTAGGTATTCTCCCTCGACAGTAACAATATTTGACGAATTTTTGACTATCAAATTTGAAGAAGTTTAGATATTCAGAACTTGCAGAATTCAAACCATTTTTATCCCCATATTTTATAACAATTTTTCTTCTTATTTTATTTTGTTTTGTAGATTTCAAACGATTAATAATGGACGACGATCAAGAGGCAACCACTAAATCCCGTGTATCTCAATCGATAACATCGGTCTTTGAAAATATCAGTGACCTATCGAATCGTGTAAAACAATGTGCTTGCGATTTTGAAATGACTGAAGCCAGATGGGGTCTTTGCCGAAGTTTGAGCGTATTTTTAATCGGTGTTGCCTTAAGCATTCATTTGCAACAAGTTGTTCGAAATGTCATGAATAATTGATATACGATATATTGATTTGATTTATATGATCTATACTTACTTGTATTTAAATATGCCAATCTAACAATCCAAGGATAAACTTCAGAACTTTGACCCTTTGGTAAAATACCACAAACAGACGTCTCTGAATTAACATTCTGTGGCGGTGGTGTGGTTTTGGGTGCCACAAAAGTTTCTTCTTGACTATGATCGGCAATATTGTAACCATGATAATCATAATGATAATGGTGGTGATGATGATGATGGCGATGGGGATTCTCATTGAATGGATAAAGTGGTGCAGCAAAATTATGATCATATCCATGATAGTCGGGGTGTGGTGTGGGTCTAGGATATGTTGGCGCATCATCAGTGGGAAATTTAAAACGAACACAATTACGTGAACGACTACACAGTACTCCATTTATATCGACCCGTTCTCTTTTGCCAGACTCCTTTCCGGTGGTACTAGCATCATCTTCTCCTTCAATATCCGCTTCTGGATGTTGCCTTAAATATTCATCATAATTGTATTCTTCACCAAATGATGGAGGACAATTGAGGCCCGTCAATTCATCTAAATAATCTAATTTTGGATTTCCTTTTGCATGTCGCTTATAGGGTATTCTCGCTGGACAACAGACATATATATTTGTCCCGTCAAAATTACATATGGCTTCTTTGATTGTCCTCGTAATGAAGGGTATATCGCTTGAGAGATCTATAAATTCATTAAATGTCTCACAGTTTTTCAACAGGATACAATTACATCTGACGGAATCATCGGAGGGAAATGATAAAGCTGAAATTTAGAAAAAAAAAAACAATAAGTTTATTTTTTTAAATTCCTACTACAATTAGTATAGTAGCTATTATATATGAAAAAGTTCACATAAATATAATAATTTTTATGAAATATGTATGTTTTAAATTTAACCAGTAGAGAAAGTAGAAAAGTCTGACTGGGCCGACTTTATGATACCCTTCACCACTTTGGGTATATTCTATATACATCTCTTAACAGACATGGCCTTTTCGAAGGAACATTGACGAGAAATAAAACGAACTTATATATGTGATTTTTATCAATATGTAAATCGACTAACATCAATCCCTACACATGCCATTCTGCAGCCAATGCTTCATTTTGTAAATCGTTTTAAAGCAAACTTGACACACACTATTTGGTATGCTGCACTGTTTCCAATTTACTCTCAATCGGTCATCCTCGTCAGTGTTGTTGTCTAGCATTCATCTGTGTGTCATTTAAATACAAATTGTAACATACGAGGTCTGCCAATTTTTTACACCCATCGTCTAAAATATGATTCTGGGGCTCAAAAATTTAGAATACATTTTTTATTAAATATTTCTGGATAGCAACTTACTATCACGTCTTAACTGATAATTTTAATAAATAATTTTGCATAGAAACGTGTGGGCGCTTGGGTAAAATTCGGGAGATTGATAAAAGACAGGTTAGGGCAGTCCATATATAACAGCCTATATAAGTACAAATATAAGTAATGTCTTTCGAATAAAGTTGTCCACTTCAAGCAAATTCGAAACAAAAGAAAAGTGGTACGAAGACTTTGCAACAGAGTTCGCGGCAAGAAATCTGCAGTATATTGGTACAATATGCACCCTAATAAGGAAGAATATAACAAAATTACAAGAAGCGCTAAACGCAACTCCTGGAAATTTTTCTGTAAAAGGAAGATAGCGCAAATGACGCCTCAAAAATAAAAACCATGGTTGATAAGGAGAGAAACAGAATTAATAATAAGGCTCCTCATGAAAGCTCACTTGCTACGGAACACATCGACATATGATAAAATAACGGTGCTAAGGAAGGAAAGATACGAGAAACCTCAGATTGATAGACAAATGGAGCGTAATGCATTGAAGAACTTCGGGCCATTTAAAGCAATGTCTTCCCCGAAACACCAAAATCCTAACGACAAATAATCCTAACATCAATCTTACTCAAAACTATGAAATTGACAGTCGAGACCATGATTTAGAGCAACATACCGAACGATACTTTAAAATATAAACAACACGCGCACATAAAGGGAAGATCAATGGAAACCGCTCTGGCTCAGCCATATGTTAAGGAATAGATTTATAAACTGTAGACAATAAGACATAAATAGGGAGGTCCTTAAATGAGATTTGAACCCGTCTATTATGCAGATGATGTAGAAAGGCTGAAAAGGTGTTAAACGTCGCTTATACTTGGGCGAAGACGTAAATCCGTCCAAGTCGGAGATATGTCTCTTCACTAGGAAGACAAAAATTCGATAGTTTGAAGAACCCATCTTTCAATACAATAATCATATCAAATAAAGTTAAATATCTGGGGGTCATCCAAACAGAAAACTTAAATGGAAAGTCCACAGATGCTGGTCCTTCTGCAGAAGGGCTCTAAATGAGATTTTAATAAAATGATACACTGGATCTATAAAAAAGAATTGATGATGGATTTAAGCTCGACATTTCCTTCTCATCTTTCTGGAGAGAACATATACGTCTTAGGCTTCATTAATCAATTAATCAAACCTACAAATCGTTGTTAACCACGAAGTCAGGCACCAACGAATTTCCTCAGTGAGATGGTATCGCTGGTAAAGGTACTGATGAGTGGCGAGATCCGAAACTACAGTCTTCCCTTCCCTACCCCTTGGCAAACAATGCCATACTTTCCACTAATAAACATTTGTTTTCATAAAAACTCCTGACTATTTTACAACAACAAAATACAAATGGTATCCCAAATAACCCGCCAACACTACTGATGTATTTTTTATTTTCCTTAACTATAACTCCCACTTTTATTGGGCCATGATACAAATTTTATCTAAAGCTAACAAACTAATGAATTTTTTGTTAGAGTGCATAAAATAAATAAGCTATTTTTTTGCAACTTGATCACTAGAAATGCTTCTTAAACTACTGCTTTCATGCAATATGTTATATGTACCAAAAACTCTTAAAACTTAGGCCTATTTCGAACTGCCATTCTTTAACAATATTGCGATCCCAACGATGACGATTTTATAAATTCTTACATGGTATAATTACATAAGGCAGTTTTTATGATGGCAACCCTTTTCAATTTGGAACTCATCTATCAATTTGAAATAATATGAAAAATAAAAACCTTAAATTTTATGTATATCGATTGGCACATTTTTATTAAATTAAACAAAATATATGTTCTAAAGCTGAACATTGCTCTCAAGATTTAACCATGGTTGTTACAACTTATTTTTTTTATCGGGAGAAAAGGAGAGAGGAGAAACGTGTTTTCAGAAAAAAGAAGAAAGAACAATAAAAACGTGAGCGTGAGCAAATCGAGATGTAAAGAGGTCATAATGAAGTCCGGAAATTTTACCAACGAGTAAAACACCAAACCGAAGGCTTTGGTGCAGGCACATCCTCCTGTAGAGATGAAGAAGGGAACCTGGTGACAGATACAGACAGCGTGTTGAGGATCTGGAAGGAGCATTTCTAAAAGGTTCTAGTATGAAATAGTGGCGATGAAGAAGATACCCCAGAACCAATAAGAGATGATGGTATAGAGTGTATACCACCTAGCCAAGATGAGGTCATAAAAGCAATTAATCGGCTCAAGAAGAACAAAGCAGCAGGAGCCGATGGGTTACCAGCCGAACTATTCAAGTCTGGTGGCCAGATGCAGGTCAGGAGCATGCACCAGCTGATTAGCACAATTTGGCCAGATGAATGCATGCCCAGTGATTGGAACCTCAGCATCCTGTGTCCCGTGCACAAAAAAGGAGACAAGATGATATGTGCCAACTATAGAGGAAAAAGTCTCCTTCCCATCGCATATAAAGTGCTATCCAGTGTGCTGTGTGAACGATTGAAGCCAATGGTCAATGACATCATCGGACCATACCAATGCGGCTTTAGACCTGCAAATCCACCATTGACCAGATTTTCACTCTGCGCCAAATCCTGGAAAAGACCCACGAAAAACACATCGACACATACCACCTATTTGTCGACTATAAATCCGCATTCGACAGCCCTATCCGTTCAGAGGTGTTTAAAGTCATGTCTGCGTTCGGCATTCCTGCAAAATTAATACGGCTATGCAGGATAACTTTAAGTGGCACAAGGTCAGTAGTTAAAGTAGGAAAGGACCTATCGGAGCCCTTCAATACCGAACGAGGATTCAGACAAGGTGACAGTTTGTCGTGTGATCTTTTTAACATCCTACTGGAAAAGGTCATACGAGACGCGAAGGTGAACAGAAATGGCACTCTGTACACCAAACAACACATGTTACTCGCCTACGCCGATGACATTGATATAATGGTTCGAACATTGCGAGCGGTAACAGCCACCTTTGAACAAATTGAAAAGGAGTCTGCCAAAGTGGGTCTGGCAGTAAACGGCGAGAAGACCAAGCTGATGGTATCAACGCGCAAGACGTCCAGTAGACTCGGACCAACTGTGGAACTTGAGAACTACAGCTTCGAGGTAGTTAAAGACTTTATATACCTTGGTACCGCCATAAATAAAACAAATGACATCAGTTTTTGAAATTCGGAGAAGGATTGTGATGGCCAACAGATGCTACTATGGTCTAAGTAAGCAGTTTAGAAACAAGGCCACCTCCCGCCAGACCAAACTCACACTTTACAAGACGCTGATACTACCTGTGCTATTATATCGATCAGAAGCATGGGTACTTGCGCAAGCAGATGAGGCAGCTCTTGGGGTGTTTGAGAGAAAAATTCTCCGAACGATCTACGGGCCGATCTGCGTCGACGGTGAATATCGGCGTCGAATGAAGCATGAGCTTTACAATTTATACGCGGACATCGACATAGTCAGTCGTATTGAGCTGCAGCGACTACGGTGGCTAGGCCATGTTGTGCGGATGAATGAAAATGCCTCAGCTCAAAAGGCATATAAAAATGAGCCTACCGATGGTTCCCGTAGAAGGGGAAGGCCACGAATTAGATGGAAAGACCAAGTAGAAAACAACATCTTGGAACGTGGTCTTCCAAATTGGTGGACTTGCGCACAAGACCGACGCGCTTGGAAATCTTTTTTAAGCTCGGCTTATGGAACAACCGTTCTGTAACAAGCCAGCTAAGTAAGTAAGTGTTACAACTTATTTTTATAAAATTTAGTGGCATGGAACTTCAATATATTTATAAATATAAATTATTTAGCAATTTTTGCCACTGAACACATGATATGCGTACATTTCGAAGGAAGATACTGTCAAAGGAAAATTTATGAAAAAAATGGAAACATATGACTGCATGAGACTACCTTGTATAATTATGCCTTGAAATTCGTATTACTTTCCAAATATCAAAATTTCCTCGACACTTTTATCCCACAAAATAATGTTTGTGTCTTAAGTCTTTTGTTTTCTTCCCTTCATTCATGTGCCAATCAAAACCTATACATTAAGTTTTTTCAGAATTTTTCTATCTACTTAAACATGTGTCTCCAAACCATACTATGATTCATACATTATCACATTACAATGCGTCGTCTGCCATCAACATCAATGTGGGTAATACCGGCTATTTTATTTTTAATAAATTCATGATCAAGGCAATTAATGACGAATTTCATTTCGATTTGTTCCTATATAAAAGATATAAACATTGATATGATATACATATACAAGTATATATGAGTATGTAATGTAGTTTAGTTTATGGTTGTTGTTGTATTTGTATTTTATGCTTGCGCAAATCAAACTAATATGAAGTGCAAATGGACCTGTTGTTAGCGTAGCCGTTTCATTCATTCGCCTACATCGTGTTTCGCTTTCGGTAGCCATAAAACGCGATTTAACAATTATTTTGCCCTACAGTTCATTCACGCTTTCCGTGGTTTGGTTGTTGTTGTTGTTTTTGCACACATTTGAAGTTTACCCATTTAGGTTTTTTTTGGAAATTAACTGACCTGACCTACTTTGAATAGATGTTATTGTTGTTTATTTTATGGTCTGTTATCGAACCGGATTTTTATGTTTGTTGACGATTAATTTAATAGAGAATTAAAAATTGAGAATTGGCGGGTTCTTAATTTTTTAAATAAAGAATATTAAAACAATTGTATCCTGATAGATTGTAAAGAAATAAACCACA